AGTTGGTCCAACAGGTGAGGTTCCACAGGTGAGTATATACAAGTGCGGTTCTATTTACAGATTCTCGGAGCTGGCTGCACATGGGACTCAGGAGAGTGRAGTAAGTGTTTCTCAGGCAGGAAGYCAGGCGTGCTGGAGGTCGCTTCCAACAGAGGCGATGCTTCAGCGACGAGATGAACTCCAGCTCTGCCTTATAAAGCCTGTAGTTGATGAGTCCCAATCTGGTGCAGGTGTGGGTGATCAGTGCAGTGCCGAGAACAGGAGGTAGGGGGTGAAAACATTGAAATGCCTCAAAAATATGTCAAACCTGTTTCAACGGGTTTTTATCCCACCCTTGAGCGGTTGAAACACTATTGTAACTAGGGCATTCCCAAACTAAATAAAAGCCTGTGAGAGCGGAGACTGCTTCAGAGTGTGGTGAGAGAATAGTGACTGAAGCAAGTCTCCGGACACTCTCATTGCAAGTAAAACTTTATTGACTCTGTCTGTGTCTTTCCTTACAGTTCAGTACTACAAATGTTTGGTGTCTAGACCTGACATCAGGGAAACAAATTGTAGGCTAAAAGTCAGTTAAAGGCGGCCGCCCGATTTCCATTTTTAGGAAGTTGTTTTAGGTAGTGCATTGGGGCACGAGTTATAGTAATGGGTCAGACTGGATCTGTTGCTCAACCAATGTATGCGCCAGACGGGCCGTGCGCGCAAGCAATGGTAAACAAATACAGTGAGGAGGCCATGTCATGTTTGCGGGTATGGTCTGAAAAATTCGGGTTCCCGGACGGTGGGAGTTTCAGTCCCAGACAGCTCGGCCACCTCCGCGACCGTTTAATGGAACATGAATCAAAGCTTAAATCGAGAAAAATGATAAAGGTCTCGATTTAAATGAAATAGAACATCATAAAAAATGTTTGTTGGCATGGGAGGAGGAGGCTTTAAGGAGAGAAAATAAAACAATGAGCTCAGAGATGTGTATGTTGAAAAGTGGCTCTCCTCCCAATGAAAATGAAAAGGTAAGAAAGCCACCTGTAAAGGATGAAAAAATGATGAAAAAGCTGTTGACGTGTGTTTCCCTCCATTTATCCCTCTCTGCATGGGCTGGGAAATCAATATGAGGACACCCTGGCTCCTGGTTGCCGACCCCCACCGTCGACCCGACCCAGCTCCGACAGTGATGACCCTGACGACGAATCATCTGATGACGCTAACGACGAGGAAGAGGTGCTGCAAACAGAATCTGATGACGACAAAGCTGCTGATAACTGTTCTCAGACACCACCTCCTATGAGCACCGACCCAGTGAAGCAAGAACTGCCACAGCCAAAGCCAAGACACATGACTAAACCAGCTGCTACAAAGATGGAACTCAGTAAAAGACAGGAAAAGCAAGGTGCAGCAAAAGCCCCCCGCCCCACCACCTTTTGGTCAAAGACAGGGTACCACAGCTCAGACGCTGTGGCACTGAAGACCGCAAAGAAACTGGCTAAGCTGCAGGAGGAAAAAGAGGCTCTGGAATCACAGCTAGCAGACATCACTCAGAAGACCAGTGAGCTAACTCTGCCCATGATAGAGGTCGCAGGACATGCAGGTCCAGCACTGGTGTTCCGTCCCTGGACAAATGAGGACATGAAGGCGTACATGCAGCAGCTACCGAACGTTGTGGAAGGTGGGGAAAAGTTCTGCACTGCCATTAAAACCTTCTGCATGGAAGTACAACCCACCTGGTCTGAACTGAGAAGACTGCTACTCTTTCACATGGGCCGAACCAACTTTGACAAGGTTAAAGGCGACCTGGTAGGTGAATACTGTGTCATACATCCGACCTTTGATGATGCAGCAAACAACCACTATCGAGCTGTATTGGACAAGCTGTGTGCCACCATCAACCGAGCTTTTCCAAYAAAGGTTGTCATGTCAAAGGTGAAGGCCTGTGTACAACTAAAGACTGAAACATCAGAAGATTACTTCTCTCGGCTGCTAGTTGTGCATAATGAGTACTCTAGGGTAGACGAGCCGTCAAGCCTTGGTGACGTGATGGGGTATTGGGAGAGCGCTTTTAGCCAACATTTCCTAAATGGGCTGCTACCTGAAGTCTTAGCAGTGATGAAAGTCACCTGTCTGGACATGAAAAACGCTCGCTTGGAAAAACTGCGCAAACACGCCAGATGCGCCTATGAGAAACTGGAGGATGAGAGAGAGGCTGAAGATAAGCTGATATCTGAAGCCCATAGGCAAACACAGCTCACATTGGCCCAGACTGTGACAAAACCAGCTGTTGCAGATAGAGCTACTGTCAACGCTGCCCGTTTCCCTCGCGGTCGTGGGAGAGGCCGCGGTAACTGGAAACGCCAGCAGCCTGCCAAGAAACCTCCAAATTCCTACTGCTACATCTGTGGGGACCCAGATCACTGGGTAAAAGACTGCCCGAAGAGGTTCGTCAAAGGGTAGACAGATGTCTACAGCTGACTAGGTGTGGAACAAGGCCAGGCGGAACTTCGGCGGTGGGGGTCGACGCCAGAAGCACAGACTGTCCTGGTCGCGAAGAGCAGATCTTCTGCACCTTCTAAGATAAGTAAAAACACACACACACACCAGCTGGTGAAAATGCACACACACATGTTGCTGAAAACAACACAGAGGCCTCTGAAACACCTACATACACACACAGTTATGTCAAATACTTTGCTGAGGCGTACAAGCTGTACACGACTTTTGTTCTTTTGGTTGATAAAAAACCCATTGTTTTCCTTGTGGACTCAGGTACCACTCACTCTCTCATAAAAACCTCTGATGCTCCTGCATTGGTGAAAAGTAAAGAGTATATTTTTTCTACTGGAGCTTCAGGAAAGTGTATGCGCGAGTATTTTGCTGAATCAGCAGAATGTGCAGATCTTGGTGTGAACAGCTTTGACACAAAAACACTGAAACATAGATTTTTGCTCTCAGCTAACTGCCCTGTGAATCTTCTAGCCAGAGATTTAATCTCGAAATTTGACCTGAGTTTAGTCTCAACTCCCACAGGGCTAAAAGTGATAAGACAACCATCAACATTTACATGCCCTGCGCTGACAGACAAGCATCAGATGTTTGTCTGTGAGTGGAAAATTGACCAAGCTGCAGCTGTTCATCTGACACTCAGAACAAGGGAGGTAATAAATCCCTCCGCAGTGATTCAGGAAAATGCCCACCTACACTGCAAAGCATTTATGACAACATCTCTAAGGGACCCCTATGCTGAAAGTTTCCTTGAGTTTTTTGAAGATTTTCTGTGCACAGAGTTTTTGTTTTGGGGGTCAGAACGATGTGCTGTCTCAGTAAAACTAAATCATGCCCAAACAGAGTTCTATATGATGCCTGAATCTGTTCCACACATTGCTTTGTCTAAAGCTCCATCTGACACTTGGGATGATTCAGGGCCGTTTGTGCTGTGCTGTGTGAGTACCAGTGATTGGGTCCTCACGTGGACAGCTGCAGTTGATTTCTCCCCCTCTCTGAAAGCTTACAAAGTGTGAACTCTCTGTTGATTGTTCTGTGTGCCAGCTGCCTGACTTCAGGGTCAGCTGACTAACTGCCCTGGTCATGAATGAGTCCGGCCCCATTGCTGACTGTCTCTCTCAGGTCCCAGATCATTTATGGGCAAAAAGCAAATGTGATGTTGGATTGATAAAAGGTGTGAAACCAGTGATTGTGACTCCTAAATCTGATTTTAGGCCGAAACTGAAGCAATACCCTTTGAAAAAAGAAGCTGTTGATGGAATCACCCCTGTGTTTGAATCTTTGCTAAATGCTAGTGTCATGCAGTGTGAGGCTTCACCTGTACAAACACCCATTTTTCCTGTGAAAAAGATTAGAGAAAAACCGCTCCACGACTGGCGTTTCGTCCAGGACCTAAGGCCGGTAAATTCTGCTGTTGTTGCCAGAGAGGCGGTCGTCCCAAATCCTTACACTATTTTCTCACAAATACCAGCTGTGGCCAAGTGGTGTGATCGATCTGAGTAATGCATTTTTTAGCATCCCTGTTGACTAAAATAGTCAGTTCTGGTTTGCATTTGAGTTTAAAGGTGCTTGCTACACTTTTACTCGGCTGTGCCAAGGCTATGTGGAATGTCCAACTATTTTTCATGAGGCTTTGTGCAAAAATCTGTCATCATTCACGCTGTCACCTGGTTCTGCCCTCCTGCAGTGCATTGATGACCTTTTGGTGGCCTCCCCTTCTAAGGCCCAGTGTGAAAAGGACACTGTGGCATTGTTATGTTATCTGGCGGAGCAGGGTCACAAGGTCAGCCTCTCTAAGCTGCAGTTTGTAAAACCGCAGGTTTTGTTCCTAGGGCATGTACACTCACCGGCCACTTTATTAGGTACACCTGTCCAACTGCTCGTTAACACTTAATTTCTAATCAGCCAATCACATGGCGGCAACTCAGTGCATTTAGGCATGTAGACAAGGGCTGTGTCCAAAACGACAGGACGGGTCCTCCGG